AAAGGAAAAGATAGGAGAAAAGCTTTTCCAAATTCACAAGAAGGGGTGGATGAAAGGACGTGCCTGAGCTGTGTTATTGTCTGGTTGTTCTTTGGGTAGGATTGATATAAATGGAGAAGTAATAAAAATTTGAAGACAAGTCCTTTTTTCAGTCAAGTGTTTGAAAAACAAAGTTGTTTACTTTGCTAATTCAGCCTTCTGATATCACGATTCAGAAGGGGAAAACGGCCAAGCTGAGCGTATGCATATCAAGTATTATGTTGACATTCTCTTACTCTTCCTGGTTAGTTTTCTTCACTTGTAGAAAAAAAATAGTTTGTAATGCTTAAGGAATTGACATAGTAAAATTTCATACATGAGTATCATTTGATGTCAAGTACATCCTTTAAAAGAAAAATCTTTTCTGTTAGTTAGAAGAGTAATAAAGAAAATAAATCTCGACTGTGAATGCTTTTTTTACCCCTTCAAAGAGCCTATACCTGCTTTGATTATATATTCTGAATTCACTTTTTTCCCAGACCTGATTAAAATACTTATCATTTAAAAAAGAGACAAATATTACCTGTTGTAAGACTACCCAATTAGGAGTTGTTTAGGTATATTCTCTAAATCGCTTGAATGTGTCACTTAAGGTTGTAGCTAGTGTGCCTTGTGTCTTTCAAGTTCATAACAAAGTCATCTCTTGGTAAGTTTTTTATTCCTGTAAGTAGGGAATATTGTGCTTTCACTGTAGCCTTGTCTGCTTAGATGTCTGTAGTTGCAGTGCATCCTTTCCTTCCCCAGCAAGGGTGACTGGAATAAAGGGGTGGTGGTTAGTAACAGTGCAGAGGCTCTTGTCTTGTGTTCATCTTACACGCAGTTGGGATCTGTTTGTGTTGTATGCATGTATGCAGAAACTGTATCCTCAAAAGGAAACAGCAGAAGTGATTTAGTGAATCATAACTTTTTCTTACTTACTCTAGTGTTGTTTGGCTTCCTGTGAACTCTAGAGCAAGATGGTGTTTTGAGAGAGCCTGGGGAGCGTGGAGCCAGCTATAGGATTCGGGCAGTGAAGGATGGGATCTCCTTCTGGTCCTGCTGTCAGGGGTCATTCTTTGATCTTCATGTTATTTCAGGCTGCATCATTTTGTCTGATCTATGTTGATTTTACTTCCAGTCTAATCATTAAAATTAACAAAGAAATGAACCATTAATGTTTTGGTAATAGGTTATTAAAATGCATTCTGCTATGTGGTAAGCTCTCGAACTTCTCAAGCTTCTGAGTTTTCCTACACCATGTTGTCATGACTAAGTCTTAGTGATTCTTAGCATAGCATTAAATACCTGTATAATGACACCATAGCATGTTTTTGATCTTTTTTTAAATTAAAAGAGTATAATTGCATTATGATGATAGAGAATTCTGACTCATCCTCATCATAGGCACTATTAACTATGCATTTTTTTCTTTGGTTTCATCACCCTGGCAGATGGGGCCAGTCCTTTAATAGAGGATTGTTGTTGCCACCAGTTGACTGTGTACTGCAAACTAACAGGATGTTAGAAGAGTTTACTGAAGGGTAGAACTATTGAGTGTTGCTTAAAATGGGTGTTAAAAACCAATAGTTAGCCAAACCCTAACATTCTGGACATGAACTGTCCACATTGCTCTCTAGGGTGACATTGTATGGAGGAAGTTAAGTTTAAAGCTCTCATTTTTCAGGTGTTCTTCTTGATTATGTACATTAACAGTGAATTACTTTCAGGCATAGTAAAAAGGCATTTCAACTTCCATGCTGTCTCAAATAGCAGAGATAAACCCCAATATTCATTAAGCAAAATATTTATTTTTCTTCTCCCTTTGAGTGCATTAGTGGTGGAACTTCATGGGTTTGGCTGAAGCTTTAGTAGATATTTCTCATCCCTTTGGAAAAAGAATTTGATCAGTCTTTCTAAAGACAGAATGGCAAAAGTAAGTTAAAATTCCATAATAAGATAGACCACGATAGAACAGGTTTGGGGTTTTTATGTAGTCTTCTTAGTGTGAGACTGGCACTAAAAATAATATGTCATTGATCTTTCTTGCATTTCCCACTAGTAAGCCTTTTTGAAAGAAGTAAATATTCTTATTTCCAAATGAAAATATAAAAGTCAGTGGTCAACCAATTGGAAAATAACTGATTTCATTTGATGATGAGTAGGTATATAATCTCTCTGAAGACCCATCTCCCTTTTCTTTATGCAATAACTGAGGAAAATTAGTTTTCTCTAAGTGCTGCGGGAGCACTCTTGCAACCTCCAGTAGCATAGAGGACGACCCTTTTAGCTGCAAAAATATGCTTGCCTCAAGTTACACTGTAAGTGCTTGTGGAGACAAGTCATGGGTATACCAAGGAAATTGGTGGGTGAAATTGTTACTGTAAGACCACAGGTGTTGGCATGGATTGTGTCAACAGAATTGACTGTTGATATCTGCACTTGGGTCTAAATCCACTATATTTATTTAATAGCTCAGACAGCTTTCCTATGTGGAAATTACTAAATCGGTTACACTTCTCATTTCTGAAACTTGGACCTTTTATTTCTTGCTCTCTATCAGTGGCTGCAGGTTGCAATGAGTTTATAGCCCACAAGTAAAGCTGGTTATCAGCCAGTCATTTAGAAACTAGTTTACTCTTTTGAATTTGAGTGTAAGCAATAGAAAGTCGACCCTTTAGCTGTTCATTTAAAGGAGAGTAAGATACTGAAGGTAGGGTCTCACCAACCACTGTCGCCTGATTTGTTTAAAATTCTAGTAAGTAGTAAATCAAGTGTCAGCATATTCTGTAAGGCCATGTTTGTGTTATTTGGCTTCTCCATCAAGTCTCATTTAATAAATCCCTTTGGAAAGGGGCATATGCACACCTTGGTAAATGGGAGGTGAGCATTTTTGCTCTAGCCTGTAGATTGTGACGTAAATTTATCTAATCCCTATAAACAAGGAGAATGACACCTGCAAAATACTTGGGCTGCTGGTACATAAAACCAGAGGTTGCATGGAATGGTATTTTCATATTGGCTGATATTGGATCCTTTTCAGCTTATTTAACTCCTTGCAAATGTTGTATACTTTCTTTAATTAAGAGTTGTGTTAAAAACATTGGTTTTAATTGGAGCTTAGTGAATATTTAAAAATATGTGTTGTTTCTCACCTCCAAAATATGGACTTTAGGCCTTTAGTAAATTTAACGGCATTTGTATACTTTTGTTTGCTTTTTCTCTAATGTAGTTTAGATGCTAGTCCTGGCTCCTTTCCAGGAGGAAGTTGGCTAAAAGCAGCATTAAGGAAGCTAGGCTTTGGGGAACAAGAAAGCAAGCAAAATCTGTGGAAAGGAGCTTTAATGATAAACATATGTGTCTTTCAGCATGTGTTATAAGTGCCTGATGATTCTTACTTGAATTACAGTTAAATGATTGGATTGCATTTTATTGAAAAAAGAATTCTTCCACTGTACTTCAAAACCAAACTGATTTTGCAGTTCTTTATTTTAGCTGGTTAACCTGCTTCTGCCCTGTGTTTTGTTAGCTAAGGGGGTGGTCCTTCAAGTATGTATGCATGTAACTTGGTATGCTGAACCTCAAATACAAATATATTTTCCAAACTGAGGTCTAAGAGAACAAAGGAACAAAAGCTGTTAAGGTTTTTGCTGTAGTCTGTCAGCCTTTTCTCTTGCGGCTCTGAGGAGCTCTCAGCCATCTTTTGTACAAAGGCACTGTATTCAATTCTTTTCTCACTGAAAGGAGATCTTTCTGGTTTCCTGAAGGTTGTTACATTTCTGTATCAGATTTGAAACTTGTTTGATAAAAGAAACTATCTTTAGATGGACAGGAGGTAGTGTCTGCAGAAGCACTGTGGTTTGTCTTCCCAGTTAGCATACTGGGACAGTGCTTGACAGATTGCCGACCACACTGGGCTTCAGAGGCAACTCAAAACCTGGAGGTTTTCTTGGAAATAAGTAGGATTCAGTGCAACTTGGTCAGTGATTGGAATGTTACTCATATGACTTTGAGCAATGGTTTCAACTTTTAGTGGGTCAGTACAATGCTTCAATGAAGTATCTCCTTAAAATGCCTTTTTGTATTAGATTATTATGTCGCATATGTGAACTTAAACCTTTAAGTTTCTTCTTTGACATGTTTTGGAACCATCAAAACTGTAACATGTTAGAGTCTGAAGATGACTTAAAGGATGTGTATTTATTAAATGATACTACAGAAAGCTTTCTGGTAGGTTGAGATTTACACAATATAAAATGTTAGACTGCTTTGTGCTTTGCATCAGAAAGACTTAGAGAGCTTGTGAATGTCCAGTGAAATAGAACCTGGTGAGTGCTAGCCATAATATTCCTAACCATTGTCAGGTGATATTACAAGAAAAATCAGGAATATGAGGGTAAATCAGGACTTTTTCCCCAGACTTCAGCAAAAATCAGTGGCGTGAATTTGTAGCATTGAAGGTATAAAAGACGCTTATAGTGGAACCATATTTGAGCCCTAAATTAGGATTTTGAGCTTGTCAGGAAGTATGGTAACGGGCTGATTCACCAGCTGCCTCTCCTGCATATGTCACTGACTGAGTCAGTTTAATTTATTCTTCAGGTATTAGAATGCCATTAACTGTTTTTGAAGCAAGCAGGAAACCAGGTCCAAAGAATGCCATATAACTGGCTTGAAAACCACATACACAGTTTCAGCCCCAATGATGTGAGGCTTCTTTTTATACATAGAATAGTGTGATGATTGCTTCCTGTATTCTGGAAGTTCCCATTTCTTTCTCTTTTCAGGAAGAGAAGAAAGATTAGAGAACATATATATAGTATGTTTGTGTGAGGCTTGCAGTTATTTTACTTTGTCATGAAATGAGACAGTATTTTGGGTAATCAGGATACCTGTAACTTGAATCCAGATTTTCCTTAGAAAAATGAAGAATATGAGTATTAAGCTAATTCAGTGTTTATAGTAAAATACCTTTTTAAAAAATCAAATCTAAATAGACTTTTATGGAGAACCAAATATTTTCTGTCTGGCAAGTGCAAAAATATGTGGTAGTAACATTTTTTGGCTTACTGTAAAGTGCTATCTTGGGATTCTCAGAGAAAGGGATTTATATAATTGTCTATAATACGGGATGCTGCAGTCTACCTTCAGCTTGCCTTACTTACAATATTTCCAGTGCTGCTCCACTGCCGTACTCTTCTGAGTAACTAAAGAAACACAGTATTGTACATCCTCTAGCTGGTAAAGTGCTGTGATCAGTAGCTAATTAAAGATATTAAATGCATGTTGAGATACTGAATTTTATGTATTCTAAATAAATATTGGCATATATAAACTGCACGTTGTATGTATGTCTGTGTAACATCAATATGATCATTAATTTTCTTTTCAGTAGCTTAAAGTATGCAGCAGGCAGGTCTGTGCCTTGCCTGATGACTGACCAGATGGGTAAGAATTGCTGGTAGTTCTGCTGGCTTTCTGATCAGAAGCTTCCCCAGAATACAAAGTCTTTAGCAGTTAAGGTTTACCCCCCTCATTTTCTTAAAGATCAGTGTTTTCAAATGCAACATTCACACACTTATTTAGGAGGTATCTACATGGTATTAGACAGACAGATGTGACTGAACTCTGCTGGCAAACCAGGAGCAGTGCAGTTGGTGTGGCTTGGAGCTAGAATGAGCGTACCTGGTTTGGAGCTGCATGGTGCTTCCTCAGCTCCCTGTGTCCTACTGCACAGGGTGAAGGCATTGTATCCCTGCCTGCTTCTCTCCAGACCTGGACATCTTTGATGGTGTCCGTGGTAGTGAGCTGGGGGCAGCATTTGTGTTGGAAGTCTGATTGATCAGCAGGTTTCGGACTAAGACCCCTCTGTGGAAAAAGCAATACTTAAAAATAAGTCAGCTCTGGTTTTGATCACACATTAGAAATAATAAATAATGGCTTGATCATCCTGATGGTGCTCTCGATGATTTGGCATGCTTCCCAGGCAATGTAGGTTATCTTTTATGCTCTTCAAATGTAACTTCAGCATCTGAAAAATGCTGTGAATAATCAGGAGACCAATTTTCTTTGCACTGTCGAAAAACTGGCTCAGATGAGCTTAGCAAAAGACACCATTAACGGAGGATTTCCAGCCTGAGCTAGTTAGCTGCAGGGATGGAGAGCTTGCTTAGGTTTGGTAGGTGTTGGGGCTTTGGGAGCAGAGTCTGGGCTTGACCTACTGCCATGGTGCAGCATGGGAGGGCTCCACATAGCGCAACTGCACAAGTGCAAGTGCTTCAGGGTGAGAGAAGGCAGAGTCGAAGTAGCAGAGGTTCGTATGCTTTGTGAGAGGATGATGGCAAAAGTGAAAGTCTTCTCTGGTGTAGTTGGATTTATGTCTGTGATCTAGCTAAGGTTTCGGGACAGCCACTGTGGAGTATCTGTCATCTGGCTGTCCTCGTTACTGCTACAGTCAGCTGAGCACATCTATGGACTATGATTTCCGGGTTAAGGTAGAGTAGCAAAGGGAAGGACACTTTGTAACTAAGTACAGACCATTGTTTCTATAAAGGAAGGGATGCCAAAAGGGAGACACTGCTGCAGGCTTGAAGAAGTATCACTGGTTAAAAAATAACCAGTTTTTAAAAGAAGCATTTGTTTAGGAAAGCCTTGAGCACACTCTGTCAAAACATACAAAGAAAAGATTAAAGGTTTAATGGTAGTGGCTTTCCGGAGTCTTTGCAGAACGCTGTGTTAAGCACAATCACATCCCTGAAGCAGAGAGGCATTAAACTAAAGGCTCATACAGATTTTCCTGTTTCCTGGAACTGGTGATACCCAGTGACAGGATCTGCCAGTGTTCATGCTGCCATGATTCTCATTGGCATAATTAAAGGCAGAAGGACTGATTTCAACAAGTAGATAGTTCTGACTTTTTTTCAGAAAACTTTACTAGTTCTCTGAATACGTTGTAATGAAACTTGGAGCTGCTTTTAGAAATAGTAGTGCTGTTAGGCGCATCGTTCTCATTTGACTGATGTCTTGCATGGGGGTTGTTTTGACCATGCCTTTTCATAGTGTTCTTAACATAATTGGCTTCTACATTCACGTTAGTGTGTTTTAATGCATAGTGATGAATGAATGTTGGCAAGATTCTGTATTTCTGCCCCTCACCCCAGCCCCTGCTTCAGGTATCCTAACGTGGATTATGAGCTTCATAACGAATAAGCCAGACTCACCTTGGCTTTACTTTTTCACCTCAAGTCTTCCTAGTTACTTTACTTTGTAAAGAGATAAACCCTGTTGCATACTTTCTTTTCCTGTTTCTGTCACACAGGGTATTAGTCAAAATCACTGCTTTTCTAATATTTCTATGTAAAATCCTTAGAATGGGTGAGTCCTAAAACCTGCTCATATGGCAGTCATTTCTGCTGTGTTGTTAAGATTGGGCCTGTTTCTGCCAGCATTTATTTTTTTAATAGTTGCATCACTTATATTTTTGGCAGTTTAAAGCCTTTAAGGAAATAATCAGTCTTAAGTGAGATGCATGAGTTACCTTTATCGTAATTCAAAAGGGAAACAGCAATAATTTATCCTTTCACAGTAATAGATGGTAAAGGATATTGACTGAGTGAAATATTAATGCATGTATTAAGCTCAAGGTTTTGAAACATGTATCAATTTTTACTCTGTTCTTGTATAAAAGATGGTGACAAGTTATAGTATTGGAAGGGATTTTTCAGAATATCTTTAAAAGGTTATGTTGGTTTGGGGTCTCTTTTTGTTAAACATTGATATACCCAAGCTTCCTGTCTTAACAGTGATAGAAGGACCACCTGGGACCTTACCTGTGGTGTGTATCCCTGCAGCTGAAGGTTTCTGGCAAAATCTTATTACTGCTTCCAGGATGCATGTTAAGCATGTGGAAACTGGAAATCTTTTCATAGTCCTCTAGAAGAGCTCTTAAGCGTTATATTGCTGGTGGAGAAGAAGTGGGGAGATCTATGATCTCTGTTGGTCTGTAGTGTTCCTTTTGTTAGGAGGAATACTAAACACTTAAGGTGTTCAAAGAGTCTTTCTTTCAATATGACATGAAAATAAAATACTGCAGGATTTGATTCACAAAAATATTAATGGTAGCATTGTGTCAAGCAGCTGTTTCTTTAACAGCCAGTCAGTCTATATGCTGTGCTTCAGGTACATGCACAGTGTGCTGAGACGGACTTACTTTTATTCAGTTGAAATTCTGCTTTAATTAGATTCTACTAAGGGGTGTTGGGAAGGGATTTTTTTTTCCCCGTAGCTCAGTGTCTTTAGTATCTTAGCAATTACTGTACTGGCTGTACTGCAGAGCTGTTAGTGACAACTGTTGAGCAATTCAGTGTTTAGAGGAAGTCAGCAAAGGTCAGAATAAATAGTTGCCAGCAGCACCACTTCAGCTCTTCAGAGTTGGTTATGAAAAGTGTAACATTTTGCTAGGCAGCTGGATTTTCCTTTAAGGTGCATCTGGAGTTTCTGTAAGTTGGGCCATGGAAGAATTGAGGTCTGAATCACTGTAGATCAAATCATCTTATGTTTTCAGTTGAGGAAGGAAGCTCTAGTGAGGGGTTGATTAGAAAATATCTCCAGGGGCTGCTGCTCTTTCTTCTCTAGTTATCAGTCAATCTGTTAGGGCTGCACTACCCTGTAACACTGGTCAAGAAGTGGCAGCAGATTATGATCAGTCCCCATTCACCTCTTTGACTGCCTGCTTGAAGCTCCCTTATGCTCTAGTAACACCTCTCACTCTTCCTCCTGAATCTTCTCAAATGCCAGGCTTAGCCATATGTTAGCTGTGGGAGCAGGGGACAAAGACGCTTGGTGTAAGGGTCACCTGGAGATAAAGTGAGGAAGAAAAGGGAGCTGGCAGTGAGAGACCTTAATGTAAGACATTCAGTAACTGTTGTAGATTCACGGATGTAGATTCTTGGGTGACTTTCCTGTGCACTGGCTAGAGGATCTTGTGCTTTGGTGTAGATTAGAAATGTGGTGCACCTGCTTATCTGTCCTGCCATTGTAGGGATTAACTGAAGGTGAGCAGTGGGTGGCCTTAAGTGTTTGTGAAGTGCTCCGGTGCCTATCAAGGAAGTAGTTGACTATTTCTGTACCTGTTTTTTAGTGGTTTCTGTGTCATTATTAGTTTATCAAGATGTTTTAAAACAAGCTTTTATTTCTATTTATTTCTGTAATGGGAAGTCTGAGCTGATCCTGGATCCTGCAGTATTTCTGTACTGCAGAAATGAGCTCTGTGAGTATACTTTCTTTGGTGGCTTAGCAGCATGTAACTTGCACGTTATGTCTATGATACTGTATTACTGTTGATGCTTGTGTTGCTTCTAACAACTTGACAGTTCTGGAGAAATACATAGTCCCAGCATCCCTTCATGTATATTTTCTTTTCCTTTTTTCAGGGCAGCAGGTTTACTGAAAATAAAGGTATTAAAGACAACTATTGCCTCCTCTTCTTTTTGTCATGGCAGGTGGCGACAGACAAGGTTGCAGGAAAACTGAGCTCTACTCTCTCATGGGTGAAGAACACTGTCTCGCACACCGTCAGTCAAATGGCCAGTCAGGTGGCAAGTCCATCTGCCTCGTTACACACTACATCCTCCTCTACCACTCTGTCTACACCCGTGCTATCGCCGTCTTCACCAACACAGCTGAGTCCAGATGATTTAGAATTACTGGCTAAACTTGAGGAACAGAACAGGTAAATGAAAACCTTTTTGATCTTCCAAGAACAGTAATGGGACTAAAACTGGCTTATTGCAGTTTCAGCAGAGAGACTGTTAAAAGGGGGCTAGTTGGTAAAGCTTCATGGCACAACATTGCAATGTCAAGGCCGTGAAGTTTAAGAACTTGTGTTCTTGTGCAGTAGTTCTATCTTTGTGGAACTCTGAAAGGTGTTTTCTCTCCTGGTTTTACAGGGATGTTTATAACTGCCTCTAATCTGAAGAAATTGCACTGGAGACATACGATTTTTAGTATCCAATTTAAAATGGAGCATCTCAGGGATGAGATTTTAATATAACCTCCTTGCCTTCTTAGATCAAAAATATTATTTCTGTGAGCTTTTTGAAATCTTAGATTTCTGAATTCCATTTTCTCTTCTTCCATTTTTACCCAGTTCTTGCTTTCTACTGTATGATGTGCTGTGTTTAGACACAGAGCAGTGTCCGGCCATCTTCCTGTGGTTACACTAATGATGATAAATGCATGACGCCTTAATTTCATTACAGGCAAATTCCTGATCAGTTCTATCTGTTGATCCTGGTTTATTTAGCATGGTAAGGAACCATTTTCTTGGCAGCCTTTCCATAAGGGAATATTTATCTGCACCTTCTACAGCTCAAGATGCAACTTTCAGTTGGATCAGTTGATCTTGACGTGCACAGTGATTGCAAGTTGTCTGTCTCACTAAGGAATAAAATTGGACTGTATGATTTCTTAATGCTGGATTACCAGAGCCCACACTTGTTTGCACTTTTGAGACAAGACTTTAAAGTCATCTGGCCTCTTGCAAAATTTGGTTCTGTTTGACAAGTGTATTTCAGTGGTTCATGAGAGGTTGACTGCACAGAAGTTGAGCTCTAGATAGGTTTTAAACTTGGCAGTATTTGTCCCTCGTGCTGTAGTGAAGTGCAGAGTTTGGTAGTTTAGCTCAAACCAGCTTGTGTTCCAGTTCTGCTGGTGTGCTGGACTTTGCACTGAGGCAGTTGAGGAACTCTGTGGTTGTTTTTCATTTTTAACTCTGCTGATTCAGTTATGAGAGCAGTAACTTTCAGCAGAGGATAAGAGTAACTGGGAGGAGGAGCTAATGCCATTCTGTCATGTAGCATGTCTTCTCTCATGTTCATGTTCTGCAGTCTAATAGCAGTACAGTTGTATCTGTCTAGTTCTTGACTGAGAATGGAAGGCAGCTTTTAGAACACCTCATTCTCTTCTACTTGCAGTTTGAGATTGTCTCTCCTTTGAAGATGAGCTGTATGTAATTTTCAGTGTGCAAATGAAAATTTATCAGGAGAAGAAAAGTTAGAGTGCTTTTAAGAAAGCTGATTTGCATTTGAGCTGAGGCATTCCACTCTGTTCACAACTAAGTGACTAACTTTTATTTGAAAAGTAGTAATACCTGTTCTTTGGACTGCTTATCTGTGTTGGAGTGTAATGTCTTTACTTCCAGAGCCATCTCATTAAGCCCTGCAGTTAGACTAGCTTGCTTGTTTAAAGAAGAATGTGAGTTTGGTCTTGGTAGGCTTTCTTTTTCAAGTCAAGCTTTCTTCATTTAGTAAGTAAGCTAGCAAATCTTGTTTTATTTAATTTTAGCCAGACCTGTTCAAGTCCCCATTAGTCTTGTGCGAATTCTAATTAGAGGCTATCTATCAAGTGTACCTTCTCTCATGAGATTTTACACTTTAATACAGAAATCTGATGCTATCATGATATATACACTGTATTTTCAGAACAGTTTGAGTCTGCATTTTAGCACAGTGGCACTTTGTTGACAAGAAGTTGTCCTCTGAACACAGGGAACTATTCTTTCTGCCTGCTGGAAGAATTGCTGGTGATGGATATTTTTAAAGGTTTCTTTCTCACTGCTGGCTTCTATGTAAATAAGGAGAGCATGAATTAGTTAAGCAGCTAGAAATGGAAAGAACTCGAATTGTATCAAGCTATGTCTTACAAAGCATTCTGTAACCCAATTGTGCTGAAAGTCTTCTCAGAATAATGTCATAGCTCAGTCCAGAGTCCTGGCAGAGCTGTTTGGCATTAGTAAATCATTTATAAAGTTTCAAGTGAAAGAAAACATTGACTAAAAGCCACAGAACTTGCTTCTTACTGTAAAAAGAACTTCCTGTTTTCAAATCTAAGGATAATGAGTTTATCCAGGTAAGGTCAAATTATAGAAACTTACTGTAACTTCTGTAGAAAGCTGTGAAAAATGAAACCTGTTTTTTTTTTTTAAGTGTAATGATTATTCTGTGCTGGCTTTTCCTCTATGACTGCTTTGAATTTATCTTTAGGCACTGTCTTGGCTTGAGAGGAGGCGTTCAAACTGTAAACTTTCAATACGGATCAGTACAGGCCGTGTTTCTAAACATTAAAAATGAATTTTTTTCTGAAAACAAGATTTTCTGCATTCCATTAATATGGACTAAGTGAAAATTAGTCTTGAAAAAAGTAGGTTGTTTTTTTTTTTTCCCAAAGGCATTACTATTTAACCATTTTCCAAACAAAATACTACTTTTTTATAGAGCAGAGACTGTACTTCTCTCTTCATGAATTAAATGGCATTTTTTCTGTAACTTCTATGAACACCAGTAGGTGAAAGCTTGGAACAGGGAAAGCTGGTTTAAATCATAGCAGAGCGCTTAAAAATCGGTATGTCTGCTGAGATTTGTGTACAATCTTGGGTAAAATCTAACTTGGGTTATAATTTGTCAAGCACCTAAAGCCTAACCTGACCTTGCTGAAATGCAGGGGGGGGGGGGGGGGGAAGGTTAGCTTTTTTGCATGTGCATTGAGAAATTATTCAACCAGGTCACTCTGATTTACAGACATAGGAATTCTTGGAAGTTAAACACAAATTAAATGCTCAATATAGCCAAACACTTTCTCAAGTCAGTCTGAATACTTGGTCTTACCAAACATGTGGTCTAAAAACTTTCCCCCTGCTTATGGGGCTCACTGTTAGTTGAGGACAAAAAACATCCCTTTTTGCCCAGAATCTCTGGCTCCTGGCAAAACTGATGGCCTTGGCAAGCAGCTAACATGGAAGTCCCTTCAGCAGCTTGTCCAGCTCCTGGCATGTCTTTATGTACAACTTGCTGCCTGAGCATCCTAGAAGTTCTTATGTCTGAGCTCTGCACTTTATTATACTGTACTGTATTATTTACTGTACTACCCACTTCTGTTGCCTGATCCTCATTCTTCAGCTCTGAGATTTTGTTTGTAAAACACCATGTTGCGTTACGAACAGTGTTAGCAAATGTCAGGTGTTTAAAATTACTTAAGGTTTTAGTTTTTCTGTGTGTGTTTACATTGTCAATTAAAAGTGTAATCAGGTAGACTTTGAGGAAGCTAATTTTTTTCTTTTCTTTACTCTCTTTTGCAGAGCTTTGACGTTTTACTTTTCCT